TGGAACCTCCAATTTGTTATGACTTGAAAATCACAACAAAGAAAACCAGCAATGACAACTTAAACAAATTTACTCTTCACTGATTAAAAAAAAAACTTCTAAAAATAATCCACTGTGCAATCTTTTAATAACACTCTAATGCCACTATGTAACTCTGTTGCTAAAACAAAAACTCTGCCTCTACTGACCAAAATCACAGCATTTATATAGACTAGCAACATTCTGGAAAGATCTACAGGATTCCTGGGTGATTCAGCCCCCTTCAGGCAAGAAGATGCCAGAAGCTTCTAGAAAGCACTAGTCTATTTCATCACAAACAAGTGGTATTGCATCAGATCATGTTTTTCTACAGACATACCACCAGAGGGTGCTAAATGATGAACAAAATAAACGAATAGCTGACCAGTAAGCAGCACAAATCTAACAAATCTCCATTTACAAATAATATATTGTGCTTCACATAAAACACTCATACATAACACCTCCCCTCTTTAAAAAAAGAAAGGTTTGCTTAAGACTTTCTTTTGTTAAAATTAACACAGTTTTATAATCAGTATAATCTTGAACTTTACACAAAAAGTATCATTGATCATTATAACAATCATATACCTAACAACCAGTGCAATTTTCACAATCAAATAGAGAAGTAAAATTAACATTTTTCACAATCAAATAGAGATGTAAAATTACATGCGAGAAAGTGCATCTGGAATAACATTATCTTTTCCCCTGATGTGAGAAATATCTAAATCATACTCTTGCATAAGTAAACTCCATCTCAGTAATCTTTGATTCTTGTTTTTGATCTTATGCAAGAATGTGAGGGGATTGTGATCTTTGAAGACCTTAATGGAAGTAGCCGAACAAGTAGACTTCAAAATGTTGTAAAGCCAAAACAAGTGCCAAACATTCTTTTTCAATTGTTGAATAGTTTTTCTGATGTTTATCTAACTTTTTGGAAAAGTAACAAACAGGAAGATCTACTCCAACAGTGTCTTCTTGCAGTAAAACTGTGCCTGCACCAATATCACTGGCATCAACAGCCAACTTGAACTCCTTTTTGAAATTAGGAGAGAAGAGGACTGTAGCGTTTTTGAGGATAGCTTTCAGTTGGTCAAATGAATTTTGACATTTTTCATCCCAAACAAATTTTGCATTTTTCTTCAGCAAATTTTTCAAAGGTTCAGAAATGATAGAGAAATTTTTACAAAATTTTCTGTAGTAGCCAGCCATCCCTAGAAATCTCATTAGTTGTCTTTTAGTTGTAGGCTCAGGAAATTCAGTGATAACCACCAGAGGGTGCTAAATGATGAACAAAATAAACAAATAGCTGACCAGTAAGCAGTACAAATCTCACAAATCTCCATTTACAAATGATATACAGTGCTTTTCATAAAACACTCATACATAACAATCCACATTATGGATTTGCTGATACCTGTTCCATAATCTGCTTATCACTCACCGGGAAACATTGAAATAATTGGCAACCTCAGCTTGACGGCCGCCAGTTTCAAGCTTACCAATTGCTCTCAGACGTTCAGCACGTTGGAGAGATCGCATTGCAAAAAAAAAACAATAATAAGATGTCTCAGATAAACAAAATGAAGGAAGGATTACAACTATCAGCTTGAAGCTATCAGAATGAAAGAAGTCTCGATCACAAGGGAGTAAATGACCTTTCTTCTAAGTGTTAAATTCGAATATGCACCCTGCCCACGTGTTAGGGATTTCCACGCACTGTACATGCACACCATCTTTTGGCTGCTGTTTTAGAGCGGTTCATGTAATCTTCATTGCAATTGGTTATTGTATCCAAAACACAATTATTATTTTGTTATTGACCTTTAAATTCCAATGTCCCCTACTTTTTTTGAAGAGTGAAACATGCGTTATCCCTATGCATCAGTAAAGTGATAGTATGAAAGTTGATACATTTACAGATTGTAACTTTTAACTGTTATCTTTATCCGCCTTAATCATTACAGGCTATATAGCCATTGGTCTTGATTTTAATCATGCAGTAAATGCACTGTTCAATTGTACATCAGGCTCTTTAGGCCTACTTGAGAAAAGATTGTGAGTAGTCCTGCAGTAAAAGGTGAAGTTATGGGTCTACCCTGACAGCCGGTCTCTGTAGTACAAAATACAAATTTCGAGGGTACAGAAGTTGGGTTCCACCATGCTCCATCCCTTGAATTCCTTTGGAAATGTTGAATGCTCATTTTAAGTCCTTTCAACATGTTGCGCAAGTATTGTGTACTTTGTCTTGTTTCTTTCAAAGGCTATAATTCCAGGCCTGAGGGAGGAAGGTAAGATTGGAGTTTCAATGATATTGCTCTGTTTACATGCTTGACTGCAAAAAATGTGCCTGCACACATGGCGATGGGACAATGGCTGATTCAACTGCCGAAGTGCAGTTTATCTTGTTCTCTCTGCATTTTCTTCTATTGAGTTCATTTATGCTCCCAAGAATGTGTGATTAAAATATCATTGTAAAAATGTATACATCTCAAAATGTATTTGCTGCCAAGCCACACAATTATTTATTTTTTCCACAGTAGGACAAAATTCAAATGTATTCCTGCACAACTGTATTATTTCAAGAACCATTACGACTTTGAATAACTAACAGTACATCAGAACATGAAAATTCAGCAATCCCGCCCACTTGCGCACGCAAACACGCAAGTAACAAAGGATAAAGGAATTTATGCTCACATGCACATAGCCATCCTGATGTGGCTTTTTAAAACATCTTCATTGAGAACACATAAGTCATTCCTTCCAGCCATCTCTCCTCTGCAAGACATCTCTTCATTCCTGTTGGGAGAAGGGACAGAATTTTTAAAACAAAACTGTCCCTGAGTGAGAAACTACATTCTGCAGGCAGTCTTTTCCTTCATCATGTGATGAATTGGCTGCCCACATACCCACACTGCAATAAAATAATGGGGTTTTAGTTTACACGTCTTATATCAGATTAATATGTATGAATACATTTACATTTCCCACTCAAGACCCGCAAATACAAGCAATTACTCACACACAGTCCCATGCACAGGATCACAATAAACAAATACACAAGCTCAGGTACACATATGCAGATGCAACTGCACAAACAATCCACACATACTCGCAGCACAAATAAAAAACAAACAAATGCACGCAAGCACACACACATACACACACCACACGCACAAGCATATATGCACACACCATACACACGTGCGAGCGCACGTGCGCACACACACACAGATAGCTGAATGGAAAATGCCCCTAAGCTGATGCCAGCCCTGACTCGACATGGTGTTCTGTGATTTCAGGATGGCTGAATGGTAAAAGTGCTGCTCTTTCACCTGTGGAAAAGGCCATCTCAGCAGGGTAGCGTGGAAATGACAGTGTAGCTGTTTTTCAAGGGACTTGTTCAGAGAAACCAGTCACCAGAGAATTTTTTTTTTTAATGTTGGAGAACATCCTCTCATATTTCAGAGGACACTGGCTTCTCCCTGCACTTCCTGACAAACTACTGTGTTTCTGCTGTCAGCCCCTGTCCACCATACCGAGGCCAAACCTCTCATTTAGAATACTTCACCCCTATGGACACCAGCACTTACCTCAAATTCACAGCGGACTCCTGTCAACAACCGACATTTGGAATACAATTCTTCTGTATGATGGAACAGCACCGTGTCCCTCAATTCAGTCCTCAAGGACTGAGAACTGCCCGTTTCCACCCCTCCATTCACCCGAGAGTCAGATGTGAATCCAGCCTGTCCAGTCACAGTGCTAATTGTTTATTTAAGTACCTCGGAGGAAAGAAAACCAGAGACCAATTTGGATTTAAGGGCCAATTTTGGAGATCCCGGGTATAGCATTTCATTAACCTCTTCCACTCCAGAGTTGTCATTGGAGGGATTATGACACTGCTCTCACCTGGCCTGAAAGCCATTACATCTCAAAATCTGTTCCCATTTACATTTCCTAATTACCAACTACAGTAAGTGTTAATTTGTTCAGTTGGGAGGATCAATCCATATCTATTTCCTCACGACCTCCATTATTGTTCATTGCTATAATTATCAAGCATTTTCCTATCCACATTAATGGTAGATCTAACATAACACGTTAATGTCTTACGAAGCTTCTGAATTCCTGCAGCTCCTGCGTTCCTTCGTTCGCATCAGATCAGCTTGATAAGCCTGAGAAAACATTTTTAAAAATGCCTTTTTGCTTACTCAGGTCCGCGTATTAAGGCTGCTCATGTGAAAATATAACTCATTACCATAATGCAGGTTAAAACTTGACCAATTTCCGAGTGAAAATTGAATTGAATTAATTTACTGAGCAAATGGGCTTCCAATAAGCTGTGTTGCCATTAACAATTAAGACATACAGCTTTGCTTCCACAAGGAAGGCAACAATATGAGATTGCTTGGACAGCAATTAACTGAAATATCTCGAAAATCCATCTTGAAGTAGACTGTAATGCAGTAAATGCCACTGAAGGTGGTATTTAGAAAAGGTTTAGATTTTGTTTAATCAGATAATTGCCTTTCCAGGAGCTGGACTGTAAAGATCTCATGAATGATTTTGCTACCTTCAAAGTTTTACGCACGGCATGTATATTGAATGATGTAAAATGCATGGCATGCATCAAACTTTCATAATCCACAAACCAATTTTCTAAATTATTCAATTACCAACACTTTGATGTACGAAGCGTTGGAAATTTAATAAATTAATTATTATCACTTGGCGCAGCAACCAGTGTGCGACTATGTTTCTCTGCAAATGCAACCTATTGTTTTGAATGCAGAAAACATTATGATTAAGTGCAATCTTAAAATAAATTAGGTTGCACGGCTGAAAAAATGCTAGAATCGGAGATGGAATTCAAGGAAATCACTGGGTTAATTAATTACTATTATTATTATAATTTTTTAATTTTTATTTGCATAAATACAATATCACTATTAAGTACATTGTCAATATAGAGCTGTTGGATAGCTCACTCGGTTAAAGCATTGCATTGCGAAGCAGAGGCGTGGGTTCGAGCCCCGGTCGTACCAACCGGCAGGGGTCGGCAGCTTTTTCAGAGTGGCGCACAATTGGCCATTGCGCTACAGGGATGCAAATTGGGAAGGGTCTGCCGGGAAGGGTATATTAAAATGGTTGCTTCGTTCGTTGGTTAAAGGCCTCCTGCTGGCCAGCCGGGCGCTCGTCAAGAAGATTCTAAGCTTGTTCATGTTCGGGTATCCTCCGCCCTCGATCTGAACTTGCAAGGATTCAACCAATGAGTGCATAAGAAGCAGAAGGCTGACAGATGCGTGCTTAGGAGGAAAGCCGCAAACTGTCTTCACTCTCCTGAGTTGGCAGCAAGGGGTCGCATATGAGCAAGTCTTGTACATAGTTCCCCAATAGGGCATTCCAGATTCGGGTGGGATTGGAGATGCCAAAAAAAAAAAAAAGAGTACATTGTCAATAAAGCCCTTCAGTAACCTGTCATTTCTTAATAATCACATGCTTACAGTGCTGTGAAAAAAGTATTTGCCCCCTTCCTCATTTCTTATTTTTTGCATATTTGTTACACTTAAATGTTTTAAATCATCAAACAAATTTTAATATTAGACAAAGATAACCTGAGTAAATACAAAATGCAGTTTTTAAATGATGATTTAATTTATTCAGGGAAAAAAGCTATCCAAACTTACCTGGCCCTATGTGAAAAAGTAATCTCTCCCTTGTTAAGTCATGAATTAACTGTGATTAACCGGATTTTTTTAGTTCAATTTCATTAGCCACACCCAGGCCTGATTACTGCCAGACCTGGTGAATCAAGAAATCACTTAAATAGAACCTGTCTGACGAACTGAAGTAGGCTAGAAGATCTCAAAAAGCAACACATCATGCCACAATCTAAAGAAATTCAAGAACAGGTGAGTCTTTGTCTTTGACATCTATCAGTCTGAAAAGGGTTACAAAGCCATTTCTAAGGCTTTGGGACTCCAGCGAACCACGGTCAGAGCCATTAGCCACAAATGGAGAAAACCTGGAACGGTGGTGAACCCTCCCAGGAGTGGCCGGCCTACCAAAATTACTCCAAGAGTGCATCAACAACTCATCCAGGTGGTCACAAAGCAACCCAGAACAACATCTAAAGAACTGCAGGCCTCATTTGCCTCAGTTGAAGTCAGTGTTCATGATTAAACAATAAGAAAGAGACTGGGCAAAAATGGCATCCATGGGAGAGTTCCAAGGCGAAAACCACTGCTGGGAAAAAAATAAAAAAAAAGGCTCATCTCACATTTGCCAAAAAACATCTTGATGATCCCCAAGACTTCTGAGAAAATATTCTGTGGACTGACAACACAAAAGTTGAACTTTTTGGAAGGTGCGCATCCCATTACATCTGGCGTAAAACTAACACAACATTTCATAAAAAGAACGTCATACCAACAGTCAAACATGGTGGTGGTAGTGTGATGTTCTGGGGCTGCTTTGCTGCTTCAGGACCTGGATGACTTGCCGTAATTGATGGAACCATGAATTCTGCTCTATACCAGAAAATCCTGAAGGAGAATGTCCGACCATCAGTTTGTGACCTCAGCTCAAGCGCACTTGGGTTATGCAGCGGGACAATGATCCGAAACACAACAGCAAGACCACCTCTTCATGGCTTAAAAAAAACTAAATGAAGGTTTGGAGTGGCCTAGTCAAAGTCCGGACTTAAATCCGATCGAGATGCTGTGGCATGACCTTAAACAGGCCGTTCATGCTCCAAAAACCTCCAATGTGGCTAAATTAAAACAATTCTGCAAAGAAGAATAATTTCTCACGTGGCACATGACACAGGATGGTTTTTTTATTAACATGCAGTAGTTTTATCCAGTGCCTCACCCCCTTTTTTCTGTGTCTCTTTCTGAGGATCTTTCCGTCTACTACCCTGAGTCCTGGACCATCCAAGCCCTGTCCCTCACCATGAGCGCTGGCTGCTGCTGTCCTGCTGTCCTGATCCAGTCCTGATCTAGTTCTGCACCATCCTCGACATGCCACTTCCTGGTGCTCCAGACGCCACTGTTCAGATGGACTTAAATGGAACTCTCTTGCCATTTTACTCTATTTGACTTTATTTTGTTATTATTTAGCTAGCCCGCGGAGGATGGGCTTCCCCACTTTAGTTGGGTTCCTCCGGAGATTTCTTCCCACTGGGGAGTTTTTTCTCACCACTGTTTGAGGATTTTTCTCCCTACTGGGAGTTTTTTGCCTCATTTGCTGTCGTGAGGAATAGGCTGGGCACTGCCCTTTCATTTATACAAATCTCTCACTGTAAAGCATCTTTGTGACAGTCTCTGTGAAAAGCGCTATACAAATAAATTGAATTGAAGAGTGGGCCAAAATTCCTCCACAGCAATGTGAAGACTCATTGCCAGTCATCGCAAACGCTTGATTGCAGTTGTTGTCGCTGAGGGTTGCACAACCAGTTATTAGGTTTAGGGTGCAATTACTTTTTCACATAGGGCCAGGTAGGTTTGGGTAGCTTTTTCCCTCAATCAATGAAATTGTCATTTAAAAACTGCATTTTGTATTTACTCGGGTTATCTTTGTCTAATATTAAAATTAGTTTGACGATCTGAAACATTTAATTATGGCAAAAATGCAAAAAAAAAAAAAAAAAAGAAAGAAATCAAAAAGGGGGCAAATACTTTTTTCACAGCACTGTATATATTGGTCTTGATTATGCAGCAGCTAAATTGTGAAATTATTAATCAAGCCATCTTGAAAAGGAACAGCTTGAAAGCTATTATGCGTTTAAGGGTCAGAGGCTCACGGCATATCATTTGAAAATGCTGTAACACAGGTGTTACCGCTAGGAGGATGTTCGGCTTTAGGAAGTTAAATTCACAGCTCAACACTGAAGAAAGCTCATCTCTGTGATGTCTGCGTCAGCAAACAGGCCTGAATGAGAAGGTACTGCAATTTAAGGTCAAAAGGGTCTTATACTGTAATTTCAGATATCCTTTTTTTTCGATTGCTTATCATACTTGCTGATTGAACTGAATTTTTAATTTACTGTCAACCTCCATCAGCCTGCATATGATGCTGAAGGGGTGTAGCTTGCCGAGCTAATACAGACGAATAACTCAAGACATGTTCTTATTCTCTGCAACACTACCATACACGGGGCTGGACTTTAGGGACTGGAGCCCCTTAAGCAGCAGTGATTGGTTGAGTCTGCTGCACTAAAATTTTAAGCTTCAACTACAATTTATAAGCTGAATGATATACAGCTATATTATAATGCAGTATGTTCATGGCATTTTGCAGAAGAACATCAAGAGGTACCTTATAGGCATAAAGTACGCAAATAAGTAAGCCATGCTTTGAGGACCACAGGATCACAAAAATGCAATATGCAATGTCAATGTTTAAGAGCAATCTTACAAAAGCCACTACAACACAAAAATCAGCAAGTGGTCACACAGCAAAGAATGTGCCATGACTAACTAATGCTGCGTTTCCATCAAGCGGAAAGGTTCGGTTTGGTATGGGTTGTGTCACATTTCAGAGCGTTTCCTTTACAAAAGTTGTGGATGATACCTTTAGAACCGTTCCGAACCGTTCCCATTTTTCGTCACCCCTCCGGCTGGGGTACCAAGGGTTACCATCCGATACTAATGAGGCGGAGCTAAAACACACCTTCTGTATTTGTCGGGAATCGTCATCATTGCCGTCTGTTGATTGGCCAACAGAATAGTCACTCTAGCGCGACTTCCATAAGGAAACAGCAGGAAAACACCCGTCTCGCCTACTGTTTTGAGAAAAACATTTTTTGAAAGGTCTGTTCACAACAACGGGCCATGGAGCAATGAGGAAGTGCAGATGTATATTTCATGCATTTAAATTTAGTTAATTTAAAATTCGTATAGCCATTATTATGCAAACTAATTTGGCTGGAGTTGCACCGCAATCATTTAGCTCGCTAGCTGGCATTAAAATGTGCCAAATAAAAAGGTTGCCAGCTAAAGCTGCTTTCACACTGGACGCAAAACGAATTTTTCGCACGACGGATTACATTCAAAGTCAATGCGTTTTGCGTGTATTCGCGTGTTTGCATTGCATTTTTCCATCCGGTAAAAACACCCCGCCTACATTTAAGGGTACTGTCTGGAGTGGAAACGCAAACCAGATCTAGGGGTTTGGTACCAAAAGTACAGTTCCAAGGGAACTATAACAATATTCAAATATTTTTATTGGCTTTTTTTAAACTGCAAACACATACAATACAATCAATAGACCCACAGACAACATTCACAAGATACATAAAATAAAGCAACAATAATGACATAAGCATAAAATCTACATAACAGAAAATGCATATACATGCAAAAAAATAAAATAAAATAAAAATAAAGAACACAAATTCTAACATGTTACAGAGATTGTGGTCAATTAAGTAGTAGTCTCAGTGTCTCTAGCCGTGAACTCCAAGTTAAAGTAATTCAAAAATGGCTGCCAGACCTTATAAAGCCTCTGGGTTGATCCCCTGATAGAGTGTTTCAACTTATCAAGTTTTAAATGCGCCATTACATCCCCAACCCAGCGCCTGCGCGTGAAAGGCATAACTGACTTCCAATTAAACAAAATAAGGCGCCTGGTCAATAGGGATGAAAAGGCAATGACATCCGATTGTGCACCAGATATCGCCACCTCAGCAGGGATCACACCAAATAACGCAATTTCAGGAGCAGGGCTTATTTCCTTGTCACAGATATAAGAAAATGTGTCAAAAATTAAAGACCAAAACTGTACCAACTTTGGGCATGCCCAAAACATATGATGCAGGGTGGCCGGGGCCTGACAGCATCGAGAGCAGGTCGGATCCACATCCGGATATATCCTGGCAAGTCTAATTTTAGACAAATGAAACCTATGGAGCACTTTAAACTGGAGCAAACCATGTCTGATACAAATTGAACTTGAATGTATTCTTTTAATTGCACTTTGCCAGGAGCCACCCAAGATCTCAAATCCCAGTTCCTCCTCCCACACTGCCTTAATAATATTAAGT